TATAGCAGTTTTCTTACTTCTTTTGCATTTAATTTTGTTAGTATCTCTAACTTAGTCTCACATGAAGCATTTTGGTAGTAGGCAGTGATTCTCCACTGCTGTTAAACATTGGAAATGGTTGTTTCTAAGTCCTCAAGATGTAAATGTCTTCCTGCTTGTGGTGATTTGCTGACCCTACCTGACAAGGTCAGCAGATGTTGCTTCTGCCTGGGGGTGGCAGCAGGGAGAGGAGGAATCCTGTACTTGTGTTTTAAGTGGACATTTCAAGGAAAATTAATTTTTTAATAGATAAAGTTAAAATTTGAACTGATTTTTATAGATAAATAGTGTTAATTTTTGAACCGATTCTAATGCTTAGACTGGCTTAAACTTTTTATTTTGGCTAATTGAAAGGAAGGTATGTGCTGTGTCTAGTAACTTTAACATACAATCAGAAACAGCTAGTTAATTTGCTATTTAATAAAACATTAGGTTTTCAGTGCAAAAGTGCAGAAAAAAGAGAAATACAGAGTGAAATAAAAACCCAACAGTATTAGTTTTATTTAATCTCATTTTAATTGAATTCCAGGTTTTATCTAAATACAGTGAAAGCAAATAAGTTAAACCATTCACTTACTAAGTAGCCAATATATCAATAATCCCTTTCAGTGTTAGAATATAAAAGTGAAAAATACAAATAAATATATATGGGCGATATGATTTCTTAAATAAATGTATTAAAATAGATGTGTTATAAAAATTCATACATACTGCTCACTAGCAGAGAAAGAAGTACAAAATCATCTGTTGACAATCAACTTTTCGTTGGAAGAATCATAGCAAGATTAAAATGTAGATGACATTCAAGTTGCTGAAATCATGCTTTTCTGTCTTGATTGGTTAATTAAATCATCCTTACTTACATTAGTCCATCCTTTTAATATGCTGTTGCCAATAAAACAGTATAAATAGTCCCATAATAAATACGATAAATAATTTATGGTACTAATCCTTTAAATATTAGATTAAAATAGATTCTGTAATTGGTGATATAATAATATGTAGAACAGCAAGCACATGATCAGTAGTTGTTCCTGGCATCAAGCTGATCACATACCTACTGACGGGTCACATTTAGCCAAGTCTCTAGGATCTTAAATTACTGTTGTTTGCCCTGGCCTGTTAACATTTCTGTACCTTTTTGTTGTATTTTGCATAAGCTGTGCATATTTCTGTAAAACCCGCCAGATGTACATCTTCTTGTGGGCCGTTGTCATCTCCTGGACCTGGCCAAGATCCCTCTGCAGAAGATCCGGGTTCTTGCAGGTGTAAAGATTAGCTCGTTCAGTCAGTGTCACGTGGAGCTGCTTGATGTTTGCCTCAACAAACAGGGTTAAATTCTGACCACAGGTTAATTCGATGTCGCTTTTCAGGTTTTTCAAAATGTCGTGAAAAATGTGGAAAATGCAGCAATCTGCCTCAAAAGCTGGGCATTCCAATATGTTCCTCACTATGTCTTCAGCCTCGGGGACAGTAGCTAGCCAACTCATAGTTTTGGGTGTTAGAGGGCTACACACGTTCTGTAGGGGAGGAAGAGCAGAGAGAAATTATTCTTTTGTTTTGTCTCATTCTTAGAAGTCCCTTGGTGCCTGGGCAGGTACACACCTCCCTTTTAGTTGGTGGATGGTTGGGGTTTTTTGTTCTTTTTCAATTGCTGCGTTAACACCTACACTCCTTTTATGGAGTAGGTATCATACACTCCTTGTGGCTCTGATGGTGCTGTATTTTCCATCTTGATAAGCCTGCTTGGCTTTCTTTTCAGCTTTTCTAAGTATTAGGGGCAAAAGTTACTCATGCAAAAGATTTCCCTTGATTTGTTTCAGCAAAAGTGGTTTTGATTTCAAGAACGAATTCAAGAGAAATGTTTAAATTGATTTTGATAATATGCTCTTGGGAACATATTCCCAGGCATTGAAATTTGTCTGAAGCATTGACCCTTAGGTGTACATTTTACCACCTCTAAGAGAAGGATGAGGGAGCAGGATTTTCAGCAGAACTGCTCCTGACTGCTCGAGCACTAGGATCTGACTGAAGAGCAAGGTAATGCTCTCCATGTTTCCAGTGATCTGACCAGTTTCATCCAAAAAACTGCCTTTTTCAAGCCTAACATAACTTGGCAAACCAAGAAAAAGCAATGTGTTTAGTCTGGAGGATCTCAGGTAGCAGTTAGCTGAGGTGAAGTTGTCCAGGCTTTCACCAGCTAGCCTAGACTTTGCTTTCTGATGTTTTAGAATAATTCAAGAGAACTCTCCACAGACACAGACATAGCAGATGCAGAACAGCACACTTACGTAGTTCTTAAACAAGGTGGTCGCTTGCCTTTCAATCACTGGTGCCAAGGACTGTATTTGGGTGGTTAAATGCGTCTGTCTCTGTCCTGTAATCAACTTGCTTTCTTCTGAGTTGGCTGTTGGTGCCAAGGAGCCCAAAGGTATCAGTGAGCAGAAGAGGAGCATTGCAAACCTGTTGAACTCTGCATTCAAATAAAGAAAGGGAAAAAAAAAAAGAAAGAACACCATGATTTGTCTCAAGCCTCTACAAAATATTTGCAAAACTTCCTGGTTTTGTGCATCATGATGAGTTTCTGAAGCACAGAGAGGTTAGAGGGCTGAGCTTGTGGTGAAGATCCACCAGTGCAGCCTCACCATGTGCAGCAAGGTTAAGTTGCACCCACCTGCTCGGCGTCGCATGGTGGGCTCGGAGAGCAGCTGACGTGGCTGAGAGCCGACTGGAGGTTGGTGTCCCTGCTGCCTGCAGTGCTGTAGTTCTGTCCCACCAAGCTGCCTTTATATGCTGTGGAGTTTTGCGTCACTGGCTCCTCCATGGGCTTTTTTTTAAATATATTTTTTGCATGTGATCGTTCTGGGTTTTTTTCTTTTTTAAAAGATTAAATCAAAAGTTGGTTCGAGCGCTTCTTCACTGATTGTGATCTAGAGGCAGTTTCGGACTGACACCCATGGTGGCCTGTATCATCTGTCTGAAGAGGAGTTCAGGATGCTTAGACATCCCGTCTGAATCCTTGGCCTCTCCAAAATGGGGGATTTTGAACATAAACTCAGTTGTGTTTTTTTTTTAAAAAGAAGAACGTTTGGAGCACGTGTGAGCACACCCTTGGGACACAAAGCCAGCAACCTTCTCCTGCAGGGTTGACCCTGGCAGTGAAAAAGCCATGAAGGGCTTGTGTACAAAGGCAGGTCAGGCCTCCAGGGCAACATCTGTAACCTTCTGCTGGATGTCTGTAAGATCATGTCTCCAAGGTGTGACTCCTGCACCTATCCCAGCAGAGGATGTCCTGGATCCCACTTCCCCATCTCTGTCACACCTCTAAGTCCCCTGAGGCCATTTTCTGTTTCCAGTGACAAACTGCAGGAAATTCTTAACACACCCCAAAACAGTGAAAAATCTTTCCTAGGATTTACAGGTATGAGGATGTGATCAGAACAGGACCTGCAGAACAACTCATAGTTTAGGACAGAAAGGAGAGCAGAGGAAACCTCTGAACACACCTTTGTGACAATGCCAAGTGACAGATACAGCCATGCTTCCCAGCCCTGTGGTGAAAGGTAGTGATAGACTGAAAGGTGAATGTTTGTCAAGTCACCAGAAGACTTGAAGGGAACAACAGCTTGGTGTCAAAATAATCAGTGTTCTCTCTTTCACATGAAATAATCTGTCTCTGAAGATAAAAAGCTTGGTATGTGCATCAGCTCCTCTGAAAGTGCCTGGGACTGGTACAAGAACTTGAGGCTGAACTGAATCCCAAGGCTTGAAATAGGAATGGACATTTCCCCTGGATGTTTTTGCACTCAGGTCCCACCAGCCTGTAAGCAGAGAGGTCAGTGGCTGGTTAGTGCCTCACAGTGCGTTGCAAGGTGCTTGCACAGAAAAGAGACCATTGGGCAGCTGGCACTGCCAGCCCCCTTCCACTGCCCCAGACAGGTAGAGCCAAGGACGGACAAAGAAATCACAGCTGATCTTCCTCCAAGGGCAGGGAACATCTCTTTGTGCAGCACCAATGGCAGTGGGGCCCACTTATTTGTGACATTGACAGAAATAAGCAGCATCCTTACAACTCAACTTCCCCACAGAACGTGATTCAGCCACTAGTAATACTTTTCTGAAGACTGTTCTAAGATTTGACTTCATTTTCTGCTCAGCTGAGGAGAGGAATTTGCCTGGTTGTTCCACTCTATGGTGGCCTCTCGGCCTGTGCATGCTCTGCACATCCTTTCCTATGTGCACACAGCTGTGATAAGCTGCTGAGCTGATAAGGGAGCAGACATCTGTCCCGTAAAACCCAGCCCTAGTGGAAGTTCAGCTTTCCACCACGTAACCACCAGATGCCACAGGGCACCTGCGATTCACTGGGGAAGTTTTGCTGCTGTAGCCATTGCCTCAACACTCATTGCTGGAAACAACAAAGAAACCCTCAGAACCTGGAGACCTGATTCTGACCTTAGAGCTGGGGCTTTTTTTTTTTTTTTTCCTGGGGCTTATCTACCTTTTTTCCAAGTGTAGGAGCTGGTATTTTTAACCATGAACTGTGTTTTCCGGGCGCCTCGTGGTGCTGTGGTGGCAGTGCCCTCCATGCCAACGAAGAGCAGAGCTTTCACAGCTGAGAACCTGACGGCTCCCTGCCCGAAACTTGAGCGACGCTCAGGATGTAGATAAGTGAAACGGCAAATGCCGTGTCACAGCTCCTTGCCCAGGGGACTGAGCTGACACAGCAAGTAAAAAGCCCTCCGTCTCTTGCCCTGGTGGGGAGCAGCCCCCAGAATCCAGGGGGAGATCCAGAAAACCCAGGGATTTATTCCCGAGCTGGTGCCGTCCCAGGCTCGCTCCGCGGCCGTTTGCAGAGCTCGGTCCTTGTTTCCAGGGCACCCGCGTCCCTCCCGTCTCCCAGCAACCGGGACTCCTGCCTCCCCGCTGAGCCAGGGAATTCCAGTTGCCTGCTGGGCTGGATGGCAGGATCCGGCCGCCGCAGTGTCTGGGCTGTTTTTCGGGAGCACTTGCGGTGCCTGAGTCTGCGGGACTTCCCCTGCGGCCTCGGCAGCTGGGTAGGGGGCTCGTGGGGCGCAGCCGCGGGGGCTGCAGCCTGCAGGGCTCTCACTCCTGCTCTCCCCATCTCCGCAGAACGAGTCCCGCTG